TGAGGGAAGACGCTGATGAGGTAGAGGAGAGGGATGAGGTAGAAGAATGGCTCCGGGCGTCAGTGGATGACTTTTTGTTTTTCCGGCGCTGGGCCAATCGTGCATTGCTGACATCCTTGAAAAAGAGAGAAAAAAAATTTAGTTTATAGGTCATTTCTTAGGACATTTAAATGTAATCTCCAAACTATATTAATCATATCATCTATGTCAGACTCCAATAACTCTTCCTATAAAAAATTCTTATCTAGAATACTTACTAACAAACGGAAGCCTTCTCTGGTGGCCATATGGAATGCATGAAAGGTTTGTTTGACCCCTGCCTCCGCTGACACAGGTCCTTTGAGGGTCGGCCTTGCACTGAGAATGGTAGGGGTCATGAGTGGCGTGGCCGAGAACACAGAAGGCGGGCCACCTTGCAACCACTCGTCTTGCAACAATTCATTGATGGTCAGACGTTTTGAGGCATCTACCGTCAACAATCCTGTGAAAATACAAAATTTAGTAATACATACATAGAATTTCTTTTCCAAACATGCTTTTTCTAAAATCTTTTCTTAAGGATTATACTACATTAGTATTTAATTTAAAACTGTTAAAATAAAACTTTAGTACAAGTCTGAATTTCTTCTCAAGCTCTCTAAATCAAATTTAAATCTTATGAAAAAGAAGATCCATTACATACCTTTAATAAGTTTCTTTGCCTGAGTTGACACAGTTAGCCACTCTGGTCCAGACATGTCAAAACTTCCACCTTTTATGCGAGCAATAATAGATGCTGAGGTGTCGTCTTTACTTCTTGACTGAAATGGGGCTCTACCAGACAACATGGTATACTGAAAAGAAGATAAGAAGAATATTAGATAAATGGAATAAAATACATGGATTTTAGGCAAACTTTTATATGTAATCAAGTGAAATCTTTGCCATGTTATGAAAATAATAAAAAAGACAAAGTAATAAAAATACTTTGTTCTCTCAAGGCTTATTGCAATGTTACATTTAGGAAACAAATATGTGGTAATATAAGATCATGTAAAATAAAAAAAACAACTTACCAAAATAACACCTAAACTCCACCAATCACAAGTTTCATCATAACCCGCAGCACCCTGCTGAACTGCCTGTCGCAAAACTTCAGGAGCCGCATAGTGAAGAGTGAAACATGGGGTCTTCATACATCCATCTTTTTCTGGCTTCATGCGGGCAAAGCCAAAGTCCACAACCTTGATTTCTGAGTCTTCCGAGGAACTTTTGAAAAGGAGATTCTGTGGGGCAAAAGATAGTAAAATTAAAATTACCTGAAAGATGGCTATGGGCTCCAATGAATGATTTCAGGTATCACAGTTACAAACTCTTGGCCTCTTTTTATTCATAATAGACACAACAAATTCAAAACTAATATGTTTCTTACCTCTGGCTTCAGGTCTCTATGTACAACACCTTTTGTATGCATATAATGGACAGCAGACACTAGACTCTGCATGATGACTGACGCTTGTGCTTCTGTGAATCTTTCGTGTTTTCTGATCCTCTGAAGAAGTTCACCTCCCTCAAGAAGTTCCATAACAATGTATGTGTGCGCCTGTTGACACAAGAATATGAATTAGATCCTGAACTTTATCTAGAAAGTCAATCTGGTGCCTTTATATCAGACATATATACATAAAAACATTATGAAGAAAACTATAGTAATAATAACAACAATAATGATAATACTTACTTCATCATAAAAAACTTCATGGAAGGTAACTATATTGGAATGTCCTTGACAAGCACGTAGTAAATTAATTTCCTGTTGACAGTCTAACCTGCGCGACACAATTTTCACAGCAAAGGCACGGCCTGTAGATTTTTGGATACATCTACGACACACACTAAAACTGCCATCACCTAGTATGCCTTCTCGTAGATCTAATTCATAATGCTGGAAAAATGCAGAATCCTGAAACAGAAGGAATTGAAATATTAGAATAATTTAATGAGAAATAATATAATATTTAGAAAAAGTATACCAAACAGTACAGTAAAGATTTATTTTGCTAATACTTTAAATTACAAGAATAAATAGAAAAACTGTTTTAACTTACCTTGAAGCTACAAGCCATTAGATTATTTGTGTCTGGTCTTCTGTCTGGAGACATCTTGAAGAGAGAATCACTAACAACATTTTCAGTAAAGATGACTGAAGGTGCTACATATGAGTAGCCCTGTAGAATTGAGAGAAAAGGATAACATTAAAACAGGTTATAAATTTAATACATGTGGATTAGAAGAAGACACAAAAAGACAAAAGCTTATCAGTAACTGATAAAGTTATAAATAAATCATCTAAATATAGTACTTTACAGATAACAGCACCACTTTGAAAGGTACATCTTGAAAGATATATTCAAAAGCATTATCAATTCAGTAAAGTATAAACAGATAAAAAAGGGATGGGTACAAACACAATTTTCTATCAAGATAAAAGGGACTTAAGCAGGTATGTAATATAAATCAACTAATTATACCCATATTAAAAGAGAAAACTTACATTGAACATTTTATCCACATCTGGGGGAACTATGGCAGGGGAATCTTGAGGAACCATAGCTGTAAACTCCTCTGAGAAATTGCTGACATCAAGTTCATTGCTGATACGAGGAACAAAGGGAGCTGGGACTTTTTTCTTGGCCAGGTCATCCCAGTTTATAGTCTGCAAAAGAAAAATTATACCCATATTATGCACTTTAAATATCTTGGATACTTGTGTTTAGAGGCTATACTAATAAGTATTAGAACATTAGACATGATAGCATATACTGCTCATGGATTAGCAAGAAGGCCTTTTGCTTCTCATTATGTCATAATCATTCTTTTGTCTTGAATTAAGAAAGTAATACTATCAAGTCCAATAAACAATGTAAACGAATCATCAATTCACCACAGCAGGCATGCCACATATTATTAATTTAATTCTTTCTTAGTTTGCTCATTTATTTTCATGTCATCCACTACACAGATGATAATGTGCACAGTATATTTGGTTGACAAGAGTATGGGATAATAAACTACAATAAAGCTTCAAGAGTTTATGTAAGTCCTAAATATTCTCTTACCTTGAAGAATTTATGTTCCTTCAGCTCTTCAGCATCCCTTGGACCGCCTCCTAGCCGTTGACGAGGGTCTTTCACAAGAAGCCGGGAGATAAAATCACGAACCTCAGACGACAGTTCACTTGGTAGTGGGGGCTGGGTCTTCAAGATTCGTCTAGAAAAGCAGAAACATTCTTAGAAAACCTGCAAATTAATCTGGAATATATATATATATATATATATATAATATATATATATATATATATATATATATATATATATATATATATACATTTTTGTGTTTGTTTGTCTGTGTGTGTATATGTGTGTGTATGTGTGTGTATGTGTGTATGTGTGTGTGTGTGTGTGTGTGTGTGTGTGTGTGTGTGTGTGTGTGTGTGTGTGTGTGTGTGTGTGTGTGTGTGTGTGTGTGTGTGTGTGTGTGTGTGTGTGTGTGTGTGTGAGTGTGTGTGTGCACGTGTGCGTGTGTGTGATTGTCAGAGTGAGTGAAAGTGAGAGTGAGAGTGTGTGTGTGGGTATATCGAAGCTTTCTCTTTCCTCATGCATTATGTTTTAGCAGCTTTGTAAAGTGTAACAAAATTATCCACTTGCAACAGAAATTGCCTCACACATACCTTGAAATCTCCTGCTGGTTATTTTTCTCTCCTTCCACAGTAAATGGTGAAGCTCCCGTTAACAATTCATACGTTAATACACCAACACTCCACCAGTCTACCGCCTGCAAAAAATCATAAAATAAGCAAATACAGATAAAACTGACAAAAACTTTGCAGACAATGACCCTTCAAACAAGAGACAGATAAACATACAGGAACCACACAATACCATAAACTGATAAAATTACTGAAATACCAACTTGGGGCCTGAGAAAATTCCTTACCTGATCATGGCCATGTGAGCCCCCACGCACCACCTCAGGTGCCATGTACTCAATCGTACCACAGAAAGAGTAGGCTCTGTGCTCTGTGTCATGGGGAAGGAAGTCTTTGCTGAGACCGAAATCCGTCAGTACTATATGCCCATCTGAGTCTAGGAGGATATTTTCCAACTTGATATCACGGTATATTATGCCCAGCTGAAAAACGAGTTTTAGTTAATGTATGCATTCCACCATTTTCTTCATAAAAAAGGGGCAATAGTATTAATATAATAATAATAGTAATAACAATAATAGTAAAAAAATAAAAAATAACAAAAATAGAAATTACACTTTACTTTTCCTTTTATTCATGTACATGACTTCAAAATCTACAGACCTAGCACCATGGCCAGTTCTTGTTTAACTTATCAGAATTGTGAGATGAGATAATAGTATGAACTTTGTATCTATTAATGACATTTTGTACTCACCTTGTGCAAGTGCTCAAGGGCAAGGATGATCTCTCCAATGTAAAGCCGAACCTCTTCTTCGCGAAATCTTTCCCGCTGATAGAGGTGTGTGAAGAGTTCTCCGCCACTTACATAATCTGTTGTGAAGATGATATGCATATTTTATACTCTTGACTCATTTCGTTACTCGCAATATCATTAGTCTATCAAAAAGCCTATGTCATCCAGTGAATTTGTCCTTATCAGTGTAATGTAGCTCTTCCACAATCATGAATTTCATCACATACTCATACAAAACAAATCATAAGATACAGAGACCAAAATATGCAACAGAGAACAATACAGCGACATCCTACCTAGAATGAGATGAAGCTTGGCATCGGTTTGGAAGGCATAGTGAAGGGTGACGAGGAAAGGACTCTGACGGACTGCCTCCAGGACTTGGCGTTCTGTCTTGGTGTGTTCTGTGGTCTTCTTCTTTTGCACAATAGTTGCTTTCTTTAGCACCTTCATTGCATAAAGTTTCCCTGCATCTCTTCCTGAAACCTTCCGCACCAGGAACACTTTTCCATATGCTGAGGAAGAAGAGAGAAAAATCATTAATTTCAATCATGCTGATAGCAATTAAAGTGTGTTCCATGATGTTCTTCTAAGATATGAAACATGAAAAAGTAGGTCATCAGCATACATCTCTTGCTCACTCTCTTCTTGCATGACTGTCGCCTGCCTTTGTTATCTGCTTTACATATATAACCTTTATTGTATGTTGAATAGTAGAGTACCCTTTCCCAAATAAACACATGCTTTTGAGAATATGTACTTCACTTTCTTTTTATTATCTAATTCAGTTGAATTGCTTTATCTCTTTACTTGCATGTACATATGCATGAATGAACATGTACATATGCATGAATGAACATGTACATATGCATGAATGAACATGTAATATACATGAATGTACATATGCATATATGCATCTATGCATGTTTTACATTCTTGCATGTCTGTGTACTGTATGTATATGAATATGCATATGCATTATGAACAGGTACCTCCATATCTATGTGTGTGGGTGATGTGTGCGTATATATATATATATGCATATATGCAGCAGGTGGTAATGCAAGCACTGAAGCATGTCACGTTGCAATCTGAATTCACGTGGCACCGAATCTCTTCAACGTGTGCATGAGAGCTGAATCACTCGACGTCGGCGCACCACTATCACCCGCTGTCCACACAGATTGCGTTATCAAGGCAGGTACATGTCTAGCCCTTTTCGGTGTCTGTGCTTGCCCGAAAGAGGGGGTAGGGGAGGGTGGGAGGGTGGAGAGGGTAGGGAGGGAAGGAGGGAAAGAGGGAAGGGAAGGAAGGGGAAGGGGAGGGGGAAGGGGAGGGGAAGGAAGGGGGAGGGGGGAGGGGAAGGGGAGGGAAGGGAAAGGAAAGAGGGAAGGAGGGAGTGGAAGACAGAAAGGGTGAGAGAGGGAGGGAAGAGAAGGGTGAGGGAGGTAGGGAGGGAAGAGAGGATGGGTGAGGGAGGAGGGAAGGAAGAGGATGAGGGAGGGAGGGAGGGAGAGACAAAGAGAGAGAAAAAGAAAAACATGAAAAGAACTAGCAAAAAATGACAGAGAAAAGAACTAGACACGAGATAAAGAAAAAACTACACAAGGCAAGGAAAAAACAAAACAACAAAAGCAGAACGACAGAAAAAGTGAAAGCTAACGAGCAACAAAAGCGGAAGACACAGAAGACCAGCTGAAAATGGGAAAAAGGCAAGACTGCGTGAAAGAGTAAAGTCTCGTCGTGGTGGCCAGGGGGCGAAACCGAACACTTGGGCCGCCAGTCGATAACAGTGAACTTGGGTCGGCCGCTGATCCATAAGGATTCGAACCCGGGCCAGTTACCAATCAATAATAATGAATAGTGGCCAGGAAGTAACGCCGAACACTTGGGCCTGCCACCAGTCGATAATAATGCGTGGTGGCCAGCGGGAGACGGGAACACTTGGGCCAGCGATCGATAATAATGATAATGCAACACCTGCCGCGGCGGGCCAGTGCTGGCACTCGGCCGCTGCACCGCTTCACGCCCGGCACTCGAACTTCACTGGGGAAGGACCGTGTTTCTCCTCCTGTCTTTTTCTCTACGGGTTCTCTGTCTCATCTCTTTTCTCTTAGATATATTTTCCATCTGGATGTTCCCCATTTTTCCTATTATCTCTATCTCTAGCGTTTCTAAGTCTTTTATATATACCTTCTGGAAATTCGTGCTTCCCTTTCTTTGGGCTATCTGTTTCGGTTTCTAATTTAGGCATACAGCTGGCCAGCATTTATATTTCTTTTTCATTCTACATTTCCAATCTACGGCGCATTTCCACCAGCAAGCCCTTCGTAAGTCTCGCCCCAACACACCCTAATACATAAGAGGCATCAAGAAGGTTATGTAACTCCGTGTTGGTTCCTAAACGCTCCACCTTCAGCGCTGTGTCCTCGTGGATCTAGCACCTCTTGCTAATCTCGGCCTCAATAAACACCAGTTGAGAGTATGGTGGTATTTTCCACACAATTAACTGACAACACAATGTTAGGTGTATTTGTCATTAGCAGAAGGGTGGTGGTGGTGGGGTTGTTATTGTGATTGTTGTTGTTATTGTTGCTGTCATTGTTGTTGTTGTTGTTGTTGTTATTGTTGTTGATGATGGTGTGGTGGTGGGTTGATGTTGGTGATAGAAGAGGTGGAGGAGGAGGAATGGAGAAGCAGGGAGGCGGAGAGAGTGCGATATTTAAAATATAAATGTTCCAAGCTTTCCTATATCCAAGAAAAAATCGTCCTTATAGGCATAGTACAGATAATAAACCACATTATCATGCCTGTTGCAAAAAAGAAAAAAGATATGACCTTTCATAAATCCATGACCTCGTTACAGTTAACTTGTTCTACCCTCTTGGTAAAACTTGCGAAATTCCCCCCCAGCAGCCTCGATATTTTGTGCATTTGTCGTTCCAGCATTCGATATCCAACCCAGAATCAAACTCCCCGGTATTTTTTCCCCTTTCATCTTCCGTTCCAGTTTCGTAATTACTGATGGTTGGGGAAAAAAAGAAAGAAAAAAATCCTTGGACACAAAATTCATCAGTTTCGAAGCGAGCAGTAACCCCAAACTTGCTGCCGTTAATTCATTTCATTTTTTCCGCGTGCTTACATGTTAAAGCTGATGTACCTGTAATAGACGAGGGAGCAATAGTAGTAGTAGTAAGGGGAACGTTTAGCACAGTGATAAAAAATACCACGCATACTTTTCCTGCTGTTTATGGTAACAAGACCTAACAACAGACAAACCTAAACCTCAAACCAAACCCCCAAGCTCTACAGCAAAACCCCTTCTACAAAAACTTATTCCAACAAAACCTACAACTTCTCAGAAAACCGCCAAGAATTATAAAGTAGTCATCGTGATATTAAACAGAAAACGCGGGGGTTTCGCGGAAGCATCAATACAGGTAAAATGGCGGCCACCAAAACATATCGCAGATGCCATACAAAACCCAGCGTTCGTGCAAGTATATAGGCCAACGGAGCTGTAAACCTTGCTGTTCCTCCAACATGGCATGCGGTAGGAGTGCATGGGAGTGTCTGGAGTACGGAGTTCTAGTTTCGTACTGTTGCGAGGTCAGTATGTGAGCGAAGATGTGGATGGCGGTTGTAATAGCAATTGTTAATTGATAGCGGTTGTAGTTGTTATGGTTGTAGTAGTAGTAGTAGTAGTAGTAGTAGTAGTAGTAGTAGTAGTAGTAGTAGTAGTAGTAGTAGTAGTAGTAGTAGTAGTAGTAGTAGTAGTAGTAGTAGTGGTAGTAGTAGTAGTAGTAAGGTAGTAGTAGTGTAGTAGTAGTAGTAGTAGTAAGTAGTAGTAGGTAGTAGTAGTAGTAGTAGTAGTAGTGTAGTAGTGTAGTAGTAGTAGTAGTAGTAGTATGGTAATAATAATAGTAATGATAGTAGTAATGAATAATTGTAAGTAGTGTAGTAGTAGTAGTAGTAGTAGTAGTAGTAGTAGTAGTAGTAGTAGTAGTAGTAGTAGTAGTAGTAGTCAGTAAGTAGTAGTAGTAGTAGTAGTAGAAGTAGTAGTAGTAGTAGAAAAGGTGTTAGTAGAAGTAGTAGTTATAGTAGTAGGGGTGGTAGCAGAAGTAGTAGTAGTACTGGTAGTAGAAAAGTAGTTGTTCAAACAGCAGTAACATTAATCCTCATGATAATAATGATTATAATGATGAAAGCGACGGCAGAACGAAATGCAACCAAGCAGAAATTAAAATCAATCATGACAACATGACCTAGTAACAAAATTATTTATCACTCCGAAGACCTAAGCCTATCTCCACCTCCCCCAACCCCTTCCTTCCTCTACCCCCCCCCCCCCCCTCGATATGACATCGACCCACTAATCCCACCAACAAAAATATCCCAAAAATGGGGCCAAAGGAAGGGGAAAAATGCATACATATAAAATAAGAGAGACACACGCAAACGAGGTCGACCGATAAGGAGTAAGTAGGTCGGTTAGCGATCAATGTGACGAACTGAGCGACCATAACATAACAATTGCTTTCTCGTGAGAACACTTTGAGTTTTGGGTGGGAGGGGGAGAGGGAGAGGAGAGAAGGTGAGAGACGGGGGAGAGGGAGAGGAAGGATGATGTAGGAGAAACCGAAGAAAAAACGAAGGACAAGATAAAACATATAAGAATAGGACGAGAGAGAGAGAGAGAGAGAGAGAGAGAGAGAGAGAGAGAGAGAGAGAGAGAGAGAGAGAGAGAGAGAGAGAGAGAGAGAGAGAGAGAGAGAGAGAGAGAGAGAGAGAGAGAGAGAGAGAGAGAGAGAGAGAGAGAGAGAGAGAGACAAAGAGAAAGAGAAAAGAGAAAGAGAAAGAGAAAGAGAAAGGAAAGAGAAAGAGAAAAAAGAGAGAGAAGGAAAAGGAAAAGAGAAAAGGAGAAAGACCGCGAAACACTAATCGCACCGGCTCTCACACGTCAAAGTAAACAAACGCACACGCAGCGCCGAATGCGATCGTCTCTTGTCTCTCTCTCTTTTACTCCGTGACTAATAACACGTTTCAGTCTCGCTTCGCGCATCTTTTGTTTCTTCCTCCGCTCCTCCTCCCCTCCTCCTCCTCCTCCTCCTCCTCCTCCTCCTCCTCCTCCTCCTCCTCCTCCTCTCCTCTCTCCACCCTCCCCCTTCCCCCCCATTATTACATAAAACAAACACAAAACAACGCACATAAGCGGCCAAAGGAGCTAACAAGGGGGACTAATTTTTTTATGAGGCCGCAGATCGATGGATTCACCAGTCTTACTTTACCCGCCAGCTCCCCCCCCCCCCCCCACCCGCGCTTGCCTTACGAGACGCCTGGCCTACTGACCCTAATGGAAGGGTGGCGGCGCAGGAGGGGCGGAGGAGGGGGGTGGAGGATGAGGGAGGATGGCGAGGAGGGGTGGGGGATGGCGAGGAGGGAGGGAGGATGGGAGAAGGTGGAGTGGGAGGGAGGGAGGATTAAGGTGGAGGATGGCGAGGAGGTGGAGGATGGGG